TTTCACATAGAGGATAATGAGTGGTATTAGTAGTTCTTATACGAACAGTTTTTAAAATAAAAACTCTCCACCCCCCTCCCTGACCCCCAACATATTCTCGATTTAACCCACAATTAGGACCCTACTTTGTTCTTTATGACAGTGACTGTGACAGACCCAACCGGGACAGAGGTTTTTGGAGGGGAATGTAGGCTAGCCTCTTGCCTACTGACCATGGGCCCTGGCGTCTAAGGGGGCTTTATTCTTTGGGAGGTGTGTTTCAGGGACACATGGACTTGAATCCAAAGTAAAAGACCCAACTTAGATAATAACCTACTTCGGTTTTTTTTAAAGCCCTCTTCTTTCTTCCTGGCACTGTCCATGCCTCAGTAGCTCACCATGGACTTGAATGTGCATACCGCTGGAGTAAGGCCCCATTGAAGTCTATGGAGAGCTACTTTTGAAGGCACAGACAGCGCCAGTCAAGATTTCTGCAATGAGGCTATAAACACAGCAGGAGACCACCACCATAGGAAAAAGGTTAGCAGATACCCGGGTGAGGAGGTTAAGGCTAATGCTGCTCGTACACGTATAGATTTTTTAACAAGAATATTTGTACAAACATTTGCATGAAAGTTCTTTGTATATTCGATGACTGGATGAATGTTGTTTGAAAATTTCACTTGCGTTTAACATTCGATTATAGAATGAATGTAATTTCCGAACAAAAACTATGTGCACTGTTTGAAATTTGTTTGTTTAAGAAAAATATTCCATCCTGCTCCTTTCAATTTTCTCTTTACTGTGGTTGAAAGCGAAAGTCGATTTAACCCCACTAAAGATTAGAAAATCGAACAAATGTTCTTTTAAACAAAAATTTTAGATCGAAAATTGATATATGTATGGCCAGCATTAGATTAGGTTAGGGAGAATGTGGGGGTGTTGAGAGTTTTTACTTTAATGTCCTCATAACTTTGTTAGGTCTTTATATAGCTACATACTCACCAGGTGACATGACCCCAACCAGGCTGTCTACAGCTCTTCAGACTTGGGTTCAGGGAGTCTGGTAAAAACATAGAGGTATGGAGAAGGAGTACCGGCTGGGCCCTGAAAGAAGGATACAAAAAAAGAAAAGTAAACTGATTAGCAATTGGATAAAACATTCTATGTACAATAAGCTATTGGTGGAAAAACTCACCAATGGGAAAGTCGACAAAAACAAAGTTGCATTTCTAGTAAAATGAGAAGGGATAGAACGTGAGACATAGTTTTCATTGTTGTCTGTACCTTCCTGTCTCTGTGACAGGCACACTCTATTTCTTATATGGGTGCCACCGGGACAGGAAATAAGGGACATTTTCTCTCAAAGGGGATCAGATTGAAATGAAAAACTGAAATACATTTTGGTACGTTCCTGTTATATTTATGTCCTCATACCTGTACACATAGACTGCATCAGCTTCAAATGCTCCAACGATTAGATCTATAAATAATAACAAAATGAGCTTATAAAATAAGGACAACTTCAGTTTTTTTTGCAAAGACCTCCCAGCAATCAACAGTTCCTACACATTCTGACCATTGACCACCATTTTAATGCACCTTTTTGTTACGTTTTACCCTTTCCTGGGAATATTCCTCCCTTAGTCATGTAGCTTTTCTGTTAATTTAATATTCCTCCAGATCTGGCTTCCATGTGAGCTAAAGAAAGTACATCACACTTAAAATTCCATGGTGTCACAATGATAGGTGGCCATGGTGAAAGCTGGGAGCTGTCTGTGAGAACATGGTTTATTGTAAAACACCTTTTAACATACCGGTACATATGCTAAAAAGAGGGCTTGTAAGGGATAGGGATCCATTTTAAAAGACAAAGCCAAACAAGATGGCTGTGGCCCTCTGAAAATGCCCCCCCCCCCCCCCCCCCAGTCAGTCCTCCCCCTAGGCTGAAGAATTTTTTTGCAGAAACTGGGTTAAAGCCAGCAGATGTGTAGGGTCTAGTTGGCATTGTTTGTTTCCTATGACTTCACTTTTTCTTAGTGGTGTCCTCAACTAATCTGCAGTAGGTATGCAAGGAGATATAGTCCATATCAGGACTGACATTATTCCATGAAAATCAATCCACCATACACCCTGCCTTTTCTGATCTCATTGAAGGTGCCACTTGGTAGGTTTTAAATCAGGGGACATACACAGCAACAGATGAACCCACACTCTGTAAACTTTAGCTATTGCCTCTACATGACTTTACATTTTCAATGTTAAGGGGAACAAATCTAAACCCTTTTGAATAAAAGAAGCTTGAAGATGGGATTGGGTTGTATTTCTGCTTAATTACAGCTTATTACCTGGATATCCATTCTGATCAATGTCTTCCCCTCCTCTCAGAGAAAAGCCAAACCTGGATGAGGTCTCTGGTTGGCCCTCCAGAATCTGTGATGGCTGTGTGGACAAACCGGACTTCTCACCCTTGTATATGTACACACAGCCTGCTCCAGACTGTCCTCCAAAAGGAGAGCCTACAGCCACATCTAGGGAAAGACAAGTGGCTAGTGAGTGATTTCTGAGTACATCATGATTCGCTAAAAGGGAAATTATAAAGGATGTATCATGTAGCCCACCAGCCAAATGAATGTACAAGTTAACCACTTGCTCTCCTGAGGATTTACCCCCCCCCCCCTTCCTGTGCAGGCCATTTTTTGCGTTACGGCGCTGCGTTACTTTAACTGACAATTGCAACGCTAAATTTCACCCAAATGAAATTTATGTCCTTTTTTCCCACAAATTGAGCTTTCTCTCATTGCTATTTGATCACCTGTTTTTTTTTTTTTTTTGCTCTATGAAAAAAAGGCCGACAATTTTGAGAACAAAACAATATTTTTGAATTTTTGCCATTAAACATGTCCAGTAAAAAAAATAAAAAAATCTAATTTTGCCAGAAATTTACGCCAAAATGTATTCTGCGACACGTCTTTGCTAAAAAAAAATCCCAATACATTAATTGGTTTACGTGAACGTTATAGTGTCTACAAATGGCGGTATAGATACTGGGATTTTGTATTTTTACTAGTAATGGCGGTGATCAGCGACTTATAGCAGGACTGCGGGACGGCAGTGGACATTCTGACACTGGGGGGGAACTGACTTGGTATCACTGACATCCCTTCACAGGAAATAGGGAAGGGGGAAGTGAGCTGATGACCTTGCAAACAGAGGCTGTTAGAAATGTTAAAGTTTAAAGGGGAACTCTGCAATATCTGGGTGCTGCCACACAACCACTAAACTTTATATATAGGGAAAGATGATTTGATAGTCACATAGAAATGTCTCTTCTCATACCATTGTATCCATCTTGATCCAGGTCTCCCAGGGAAGCAATGGATGCACCGAACTGTCCATAAACATATATCCCACTGAGGATCTGAGGGTCTTTGTCAAGAATTTCAGGGCTGTTCTGTTTATAAACGTAGACTTGTCCAACTTCCAGGAGCTTTCCTCCTGCCTTGCGCTCAATGAAAAGAGGAGCTCCCACCAGCAAATCATCAAGGCTGAATGAAATATACAGAAAAGCTGTAATACAGATGTGACTAGCCAACTATAGACTATGAAGCTCTTGATACACTGATCTCCAACTAGTCTCTAGCAGGGGCGGACTGACCATTTGGAAACTCGGGCACTGCCCGAGGGCCCGGGGTCAGTAGGGGACCCCATGAGATGCCCCTGGTACCTTTTTTCATAGGCTTTTTTGAGTTTGGGCAAGGACACAGGGGCCCCATGATCCCCTATTGCCCGGGGGCCCCATGAGTTGTCAGTCCGCCCCTGGTCTCTAGTTCTCAATCACATGCAAATAGCAAAGTACACCAAACATGACAATAATATCAAAATATTAGTTACAGGCTAGCTATACACATTTTTTTGGCTAGGGTTAGGAAGAGCTACATTTTGTTTTAGGTTTTTAACTTCTATCAGACCCCATTGGAAGATTTGTTTTTCTCACCTTTTGTGCCTGTGACCCATGTACAAGAATTGAGGGAAAAATCTGCAACAGGGACACAGACACAAATAAAAATCTGTAAAAGCAGCAAGAGAGCTACACCAATGGCCAGAGAGTCCAGAATAAATTTTTACCAAAAATTGACAGAAAAAGAGAGCTCTGTGTTGTACAACCTGCAGGTAGAATTAACCAGTTCTACATTTACAAATAATATAAATATTCTGTCGATTTCAGTACATTTTGAGGTCACATGTATAAATCCTGAGGAAAAGGGGGGAGGGGGTTGAATTCCTGAAAGGCATTGGTTTCTTATTTTTATTATCAATTTTTAATTAAAACCTATTCTGGACTCTATGACCCAGTGTGACACCCTTATTGCTTCATACACTCTTGTAATGCCCTCAGAACCCCCTATCCTTTTGTTGGGGGTGTTCTGGTACACGTGACTTTGGAGTGGGGGTGAGGAGCAGACTGTGGGCCAGTGTGAGCAGAAAAATTCCTGGAAATAATGGGAGTAAACAATACCCCATCATTGGTATTAGGAGGAATAGTTCCCTGTTGTGGGTATCAGGGGAATGAATAGTGCTCCATTTTTGGTGTCCAATAAGGAAACGCTGCCCCATCGTTGGATTTCAGTGGCAGGATTTATGTCCCATTGTTGGTGTCAGTGGAAAGAAGTGGGAGGAGAAGTGTCCAAAGGGCCAGATAAAGGCAAACAAAGGGCCACATCTGGACTCCAGGCAGCAGTTTGAAGACCACTGACACACTGATAGTAACAATACAAAGATTTTTATACTATGACTGCAGTACCCCAAAACAAACACTAGAGGACTCTTGATTCAACCTAAAGAAACTACAGTAGTAGAATACCATATTCTTGATTGGAACACTCACTTATCACCATTGATGTCTGTGACAGCCACCGAGTGACCAAAATATGCAGCAATCTGAAGGTGAAAAGACGCAAACAGGCATTAGACGCTATTCACAAAAGCACATTGCATAGAGGATGTTCATTACAATGTGCCATTTACTATTTTGTTATACAACCCAAAATGTATTTTTTTTCTCCCAGTTCCCTAAATGTATTACTTCACCTGAATTTACTGCACATTTATTACTTATTGATTTTTACATATTATTACCTATTCGGACAGCTTTTTATTTCTATCTATGACCCCCATTGGAGAGATATTTCCCCTCTTCCTATCATTGTGACATCTGTTCATGAAGAGCAGGATGCAATTGTCCCTGAGACTTAAAATGTTACTAAACCCCGGACCCTACATTCACTATATCCGGTCTCCCTGGACCCTGCATTCACTAAATCTGGTCTCCCCGGACCCTGCATTCACTAAATCTGGTCTCCCCGGACACTGCATTCACTATATCTGGTCTGCCCAGGACTCTGCATTCACTATATCTGGTCTCCCCGGACACTGCATTCACTATATCTGGTCTCCCCAGGACCCTGCATTCACTATATCTGGTCTCCCCGGACCCTGCATTCACTATATCTGGTCTCCCTGGACCCTGCATTCACTATATCTGGTCTCCTCGGACACTGCATTCACTATATCTGGTCTCCCCAGGACCCTGCATTCACTATATATCTGGTCTCCCCGGACCCTGCATTCACTATATCTGGTCTCCCCGGAACCCTGCATTCACTATATCTGGTCTTCCCGGACCCCGCATTCATTATATCCGGTCTCCCCGGACCCTGCATTCACTATATCTGGTCTCCCTGGACCCTGCATTCACTATATCTGGTCTCCTCGGACACTGCATTCACTATATCTGGTCTCCCCAGGACCCTGCATTCACTATATCTGGTCTCCCCGGACCCTGCATTCACTATATCTGGTCTCCCCAGAACCCTGCATTCACTATATCTGGTCTTCCCGGACCCCGCATTCATTATATCTGGTCTCCCCGGACCCTGCATTCATTATATCCGGTCTCCCCGGAACCTGCATTCATTATATCTGGTCTCCCCAGACCCTGCATTCACTATATCTGGTCTCCCCGGACCCTGCATTCACTATATCTGGTCTCCCCAGACCCTGCATTCACTATATCTGGTCTCCCACAGTACACACAACATGGAAGTGCAATTATTTTAGTAAATATAAACTGCTAAATACCTTTTCTCATCAGCAGTTACAGCAGTCTTGTGACTTCTATTAGTGTCCAGCTTAGCACTGGTTAAGCTTGTAGGGGGAGTTTGCTTTAGGAGGATGCAGAACCCCTGACCTCTGGACAGTGCTGATTGGCCCTGTGCTGATCACATGCACTCTCCCAAGAAAAAAAAAACATTCTGCAGCAATACACGCCAAACTGAGCATGTGCAGAATGTCTCAGCACGATATGTCCTATCAGCAGACTAGAGGGGAGCACTGGAAGAACGGAAGGATCAGAGAAGTCACCCCTTTAGGTTCTACAGTGAGTATATCAAGCATGCTTTACTGCACATACAGACTGATTTTGCTATTGTTAGTTTAGTAACACTTTGAAGCTGAACTTCCTTAATTAAGAAAAACAATATCTCTTTTTGAACCATACGATATCTTATCCATATATTCCTCAGTTGCCATAAAGAGATATAAATTAGCTTTGTGTGCACCAAATGCCTTTGAAAACCCAGCTATTACCTTTTAAAAGTAGTGGTGACATCATTACTGTGCTCTACATAACCTGTGCAGAGAGCAGAACTGTGGGAGGGGCCCAGAAGGCTCCTCCCACTACAGGCTGGCAGCAGGAAACTACAGGAGGGGGCAGAGACAAGACCAGTCACCCTGCACAAGGAGAGAGAGCATCAGCAACTTGTCTTTATTACAGAAAGACAAAGGTTCACACTGGATTACTGCACAGATTTGGAAGAAATACACAAAGCACACCAAGGTTCAAGGAAGAATAAACACGGCTCTTGTATTTAGACAACATTTGCTAATCCCGGAGTTCAGCTTTAAATACATGAACAGCAATTAAAACTTTGTCAGAAATTATAATGTATATAATTAAATGTTTTAAGCCCCATATATACGGGCCAAATATCAGCCAAAATCAGCTGGTACAGTAGATATTAGCCTACATTCGGCCCACGTGTACAGTCCTTATCCGACAGAAGCTGATCTCATGACCAGCTTCTGTCAAATGAGCATGCTGGAAATCCAGCAGCCGATTGTCATATGATCTGCACTCTCAGCCAATGGCTGCGAGAGCTGACCTGTGAGTTCTGGTGGGTGGGGGGTGGTTCCCTTGTCAGAACACAATAGCTCAGCGGGGAGATCGCTGTACTAACATTGCATAATTAATACAGAGACCTCCTCAGTTTTTCTGGTCCAGTACACTGGGTTGAACAACAAAAAACTTAGCGTCTTTACCAGGCATTCGTTTTCCTCCTTGTCCCTATTGGAGAACATTACCATCACTTGCTATCCTGATAATGACAGAGATAAACCCACCTGATTTCCTAGGATTCTGAACAGTTTAACGGGACCACTGTATATTTCCACCTGGAAAAGATCAGAACTGAGTTGACTTTGTGGGTTAATGGAATGGTGCCAAGAAGAGGCAGTTTGTTATTTTTCTCTCTTTTTTTGCAGTGAGGATTAGTCTAGTATTGGGCACGAACAGGGTGTGTATACAAAACATTTTTTCCTTTACTGCTTTTCTTCATTTACTCCATAAAGACGTGGTGCCCAATAAACTATTGTGTGTCCCACATTTTTTGGCGCACTTGACATACGCAGATTGCTAGAAGTTCCTTGCCTTGTGGCTGATTGACCTCCCTTCTGATCGTGCCTCCATAATTCCAGGACCATCATCACTTGGCCGAGCCAGCAGCATTACCAATCATCATTTTAGTTATCTGTAAGGGTGGCATTGTGACCACCACTGTAAGGGTTGTATTCTTCCTACTGACTACCAATGTATAAGGCATTTTTTCCATTTGCTCCATATTATTTCATTAAGGGTTCCCTGGGACCTCTAAATTATATTAGGGGTTCCACTTGGGAAAAACATTTGTTGAAAAAGCTGGTATAGCACAGATCCAAAGATACAACTCTCCTGGGGTTAGAAATTAGCAGTTCTGTGTTTGTTATGAATACAGCTGATATCAGGGAACACATCTCTTATACGATTTTCCTTTGAATGTGATGTTTTATTTCTATGAACCACTCTACGATTTACATGGCATCATGTGTTGATGCCTTCCCAAATACTGAGATGCATCTTTCTTGCATTGTCAAAACTTTAATAGACATATTGGAAAAGAAAAAGCTGGTATAGACTCTTACCAGAGGGAGACTGAACCATAGACAATCACCAGAGGGATCAGGCAGTGGACAGCTCTGTTCTACTCAGGAGTCTGCACTTCTCTTCTCCGACTGGTGATCGTTTCTGATCACAGAAGAGTGAGAAGTAGCATTATGTCCACTGTATTAATCCCTGCTCAATGACCGCATCCTGGGTGTGCGCGCTGTCACTGTGCAATATGTGCTTAATAAACATGGACTGAGGGACCTCTGTTTAATAGGGACACTGTTTCCACAAATATACATGCCACAGGACGGGGCACTGCACAATATATAGTTTATTTGGCCCATGGTGTAAAAAGATTGGCGTGAAGAAACGTGAATGGCCTGCTCAACCTCTACTGGACATCTTTTAGGATGATGATTGCAAGCCAGATCTTCTCATCTAACATCGGTATCTGACCTTACATTTAGTCAATGGAGACACAAACAGCAATAACTGAAAGATATTCTAACCCTTACCCTCTCAGTGCTCTTTAATTCACACATGATTTAACTATTGCATTTAGCATTCAAGTTTTCCACATTGCTTTACGCTGTAAGATGTCATCATAATGATAATTTACTGTACTAACCAATCCTTTGTTTTCAAAGTTCGGAGCACTGATGATGATTTCTGGAAAACAAAAATCATTTTATTATAGTTTAGCCTCCTGTATAGGTCCTGAAATGCTTAGGGTGGAAAGCGTTGGACTCAACCTTCTCCGGTACATCCAGCTGTAGGGCATTATGCTACCTTGCTGCTGAACACTTACCTTGAGTAAACCTAAGAGTCACTAATAGACACCACAGCTCACTCTATAATCTAGCAGCCGAGCCAAACACACCTCCCTTTTTGTTCAAACACAACCCCTCTCTTCCATGGCACTACCAGTTTGCCTGATGAAGGGTTTGGTCATTAACATGAGGTTACTGTCCTGTTAGCTGGACCCGCCCCAGAGGGTATGTAGGCTCCTAGCTTCTATGAAAAGACCACCCATATGATATGATGAAGGGTTTGGTACCCCAATAAAGGGTCATTAACAGGAGGTTATTGTCCCATTGGCTAGGCCCACCCCAGAGGGTATGTAGGCTCCTAGCTTCTATGAAAAGATCACCCATATGATATGATGAAGGGTTTGGTACCCCGATGAAGGGTCATTAACAGGAGGTTATTGTCCCATTGGCTAGACCCACCCCAGAGGGTATGTAGGCTCCTAGCTTCTATGAAAAGATCACCCATATGATATGGTTTGGTACCCTGATGAAGGGTTTGGTCATTAACAGTAGGTTATTGTCCCGTTGGCTACATCCACCCCAGAGGGTAAGTAGGCTCCTAGCTTCTATGAAAAGACCACCCATATGATATTCAAGATAGAAAAAGAGCTGAATAAAGAATCTCACCAGTGAAGGCATGTAGTAGAGTCCCCAGGATTCATTCCTCTTTGTTGGTAGCAGCATTTGTTATTGTACAGCACCGTAACACCCCTCTTAAGACTCCAAAATAATGGGACAAGTGGGTTAGTAGCCATACTTTTGGAACTTTGCCATAACTTTTGGATTTGCTTCTACCATGTTTATGGACTATACCTCAGGCATTCGTTGTACTGGTTAATTGAAAACTGATTTATTTGCGTTCAGTAAGTAAACAAAAAAAGCAAGCCATGTCTCGTTAATGTGTCTAGGGAAGACAGACAGCATATGAACATATGAAATGAGACTCTGTGAAACACAGTGCACAGCCAATATATGGGGAGAATGAACTTTAGCAGCCTGTTTGGGTTGGGAGTTAGTGATGGTTTAGTGACGGAGGGTCCACCAGAGGTCATAGCTGGGAAGATTCCCCATGGGTGCATGCATCTAATGGGCCTCCTATAGGTCTCAGGTTTTTTGCATGTCATCCTCTATGAACCACTGAGCATTTTGAGGCCTTGGGAACAAAATGCAATTTTTACTACTGATCAAACCCAAGGCCTTGGTGTGTAAATAACCAGCAGGGTATAGTTGGAGCCTTGGCTCGACCCCCATGTAAATCTGTACTGAGGTTACCTGCCTGGAAACTGGCTTAAAAACTCAGACACTGGTGAGCCCTTTAACACTCCTCTATACCAATATAGAGAATTGGTGGGGAAGGACAGGAAGTGTGGGAAAAAACAGCTTCTAGGGTCAGTTCACACATGCGTTTCAGTGTACTTTTTTCTGCATCCAAAATGCACAGAAAGTAGGTTATATGGTTGTCAATGTCCTAGTGCTTGCAGTTCCAGTATGTTCTGATTGCAGAAAAAAAGTAGAACAGGCTCCATTTTTCCTGCACAGAACTGTACTGGAACGCGGTAAAACATGCCAAAAATACACATGCAGAAGGGCATCTGGAACGTATCTGGA